TATCATTTGCAAATTTCTCATTCTGTAGGTTGTCTCTTTGTTGATGGTATCTGTGCAAAAGCTTTTAAATTTAATTAGATCCCATTTGTTTATTTTTGCTTTTATCTCCATTACTGCAAGAGATACTGCTGTTGATTCCTGTGGATTTAAAACCACAGTTCATATTTTTTAAATGGATTAACCATATAACCGGTTGGTATCAGATTGTAGATACAGAGTGAGACAATCTTCCCTCTGTAACTAACTGATTGGCTGGTTTATTGGGGAAAATTAATTTAGAAATGTTTTATCTTTAATTTGGAATTTTAAAAAATGTGATAAATATGTCATTCTTACTTTTACAAGTTTGGATATTTTTGAAAATGTAATAACATCCCCAAATAATTTCTTACTTTGATCCCTCCTTTGAGACCATAATATGCATCATCTGTACCACTCATTTGAGAATTAATTATGTATTGCCCTATACTTATGATATTTAATCTAGTGTTTTTGCCTTGTGTACCGGACTGCATTATAAATAACTTGCTTGTAGAGATTGATTTTTAAGTTTTAATACTTTTAAAAAAAATATTCTATTTATTATTGTATTATTTAGTTATTTTATTTTGGCAGGGTTGGAGGAGGTAACTAGGCTTGTTTATTTTTAGAGGAGGTACTGGGGATTGAACCCAGGACCTCATGTATGCTGAACATGTGCTCTACCATCTGAGCTATACCCTCCTCCCTTAATAATTCTCTATAATGGTTTGTCAGATTACATACAGATCATCTAGCAAACACACATGCTAACCTTAGCAAATAAACAGGTTTACATCTAAGACTTAGGTATATGGGTGCATTGAGAGGGAATAGAAGGGATATTTAGAGCCTTCCTCACATTCAGCCTGAAGAATTGACAGGTCTAAGGAGTCAAAGTGGCCTCACATTTGGGGAGTCCAGGAGCCAAAGGCATCTAGAAGAACATTGAAGGATTTACCTCAGATCTGGCCACCTTGAATGTATGAGGCACAGGGAAGCTTTCCAGTGGAACAAGACATGGCTGTGCATGTTGAACTCAACAAAATGCATATTCAGCATCAGTGCTCACTCAACTTCAGAAAACCTTTGGATTACTGCAGTATTGAGTGTACCCTCCCAAGTCTCCCAATGTTCTTCAGTTCTTGAGAACCCATGCATGTCATTTAACTTAGAGTGACTTATAGAATGTTTGTTAATCTGATTTAAGCTTTTATTCACATAGCTGTTCCATTCTTTTGGCCCTGTGAGGAAGTCCTGGGGTGGGGTGGGGGCGTCTTCAGAGTATAACAATCCTGACTCTTTTTTCCTTGAGAGTTTTTTTTTTTTAATTAGATTGAACAGAAATGGTAATAAGCTTTAGGAGAAATTACATGAAGTCAGATCCAGACTGATGTCTGTCAGATCTTGAATGTGCCTCTCCAGTTAGTTCTGTAAAGGAGCCTCGGGTTTGGGGTTGCCCATTCTTCCACAGTACAGAGCAAAAATTGAGATTAATCTCCAGTAATTTAGCGGCGGATGGGACACTGTCTCCACTCAAATGACTTCCAGGTTTGTTTGGCTCCTTTTTTACAATCTCTTTAGTTCTGAGTATTTGAAGCTCTTTATTAGCAGAAGTCATGAACCACATAAAAAACAATAAAGAAGTATTACCTGCATTTGTGATCTTTAGTGGTTTCACAAGTGGTGACTAAATAAGAGAAGCAGAAGATAGTGTTGAAAGTGAACATGGACTTTCATTGCCCAGGTAAGTCTTGGCAAACAAGATATAAAAGGAAGACTGGACTGAACATAACCTGATGTTTACTGCAAGGAACCACAAGGACACTAATAGAGTAGCTAGCTCTATATAAAGGACTATTGTAAAGGATAACCTTTTGTTAGCTTAACTAAGTTCCTGGCTTGCTTACTGCTTCTAGTGTATGGAAACATGATAGTAAGGGAAGCAGTATAGTAGAGTGGTTAAACATAGGATTTGAAGTCATACAGATCTTGGCTTAAATCTTAATTTTTCCATTTACAATCTGTACAACCTTGGAAAGTTGCTTAACTTTTCTGAACCTCAATTTTCTCATTTGTAAAATGGAGATAGTATTAAATGAGATGGTGCATATGAGAGATTTGGCATAACCCCAGCATACAAGTGCACAATAAATGTTATTGTTTATATAAAATATAACACTAAACCTTAAACCCTGCCACAAAAGGTGAACCTTGTGATGCTTTAACATATTTGTCAAACTTGAAAAGCAGAAATTGTTACTTCTAATAGAATAGACATTTTGATCCTAGTTAATATGTAATTGGTCTTTTCTGACAGATACATATTTTATATTTAATTAAAGGATTAGTGTGTTCTTTACTTAATTAACAAGCAGAAGTAATAAGATTTGTGTGTTTCTAAATCTTTCTATGAAAAGATAAACTAAAAGTAGTTTTCTATTTGTAATATAGGAGTGTACTAAGTAGCTCTAAAGTGTGCTTTAATCAGTTTGAAGCTTTTTAGTTGCCCAGGCCATTTAATTAATGTTGGGGAATTTGGGGATATATATTCATAATCTTAATTCTTTGTAATAAGCACCAGATCTTTCATAATCTATGAAAACATTGAGTCCAAATGAAACACCATTTCAGTTGATTGGTGAGTTTCTTTGCTCATCACGGTAGGAAAGATGCTTACATTTTAAAATAACTTTAAGAAACCAAGTTACATTTTTGGCACTTGGGTCATTCTTTTCAAACTGTTATATACTTTTTTTGAAATAGGATATGTTACCTCCAAGTAATAGCAGGCAAGGCTCGTTATTCTCTGAGATCTGAGTAAACTTCTTAAAAATATGCCTAGAAATATGAAATGTGCTGTTTCTTACTAATACTTATTTCAGTTGTAGTTTCATCTAACATTATTTTTATTTCCCAGACTTTGGCTAGGATGTTTATATATGATTCAGCTGAATCTTTTTTCTTGAGGGCAGATTTTTTTTGTCTTGATTTATATGTTGAGGACTTCATGTCTGTTTGGTTTGTATCAAAGTCTTTGCCATCTGATAGGTCTTAGTTATGTATGGCTGCTGCTCTTACAAGTGCATTCCTGCTACTTTCACAGCCTCTTCTTTAAGTAATTCCTCAAAAGTTCCCACACCTGTAAGGCCCGTCTTTCTTTTATTCTTGTCATCTAAGAGTCAAGAGACCCACACTAGATGCCACTGTGTTGTGACTGACATTTTATTAGAAACAGGGTGATAATTTTCCACTCTACTTTCATAAAAAAGGAAAACTTTCTAGGTGGCAGCTCTTTACCAAGTATTACTTGAAATTTGTACACGGTTAATACCTTCCAGAACTACCTAGCCACAACTGTAGCAACCTGCCTTGGGTACATATTTTTCAGAACTTCTTTTTTTTTTTTTTAAAGCTTGCATCACTTATATGGAACTGAACAACATTTTAAAATAGAAGTTGCAACTTTCCAATAAAGACATAAACAGATCATTAATTGCTTAATAAGAGCTGAAGGCCCTTCCTAATGTTCCTATTGTTGATTCTTTAAGATTCTTAAAAGATCTAAGATCCTTTTCTAGCGAGAATGCTGAATGTTTTAGGGAGATAGAGTGGAAAGGTGGGTTTTCTAAACTCAAATTACTTTACAATTACAAAATATGTTGTAAATAAGAAACACAAAATAGTAACAAAACATGTTGCTTCCTTAGATCTACTTATGAGGAAAAGACTACTTTTAAAACCTTATCTATAGTGGTCTTTGTTCAGTGGGTATATAGTTACAAGGATTACATTTTATTTTTCCAACAACTATAATCAGCTATAGAAATTGGATTTAGTTTTTATTTTAAATTGGAAATATTTGGAAGCTTACACTATGAATTATGTCCCACCTGAGTTGTCTCTAGTCACATTTTCTCAAATAGGCCCTAAATTGGCTACTTTTAAAACTTGGGGCATTTTTAATAAACTCTTTTTTTTCTGGAAAAGGCTTTTAAAAATGAAATTTCCAGTAATATTTTTGAGGCTTATGGTTAATTGCATGGGTAATCCATCACTTGTACCTTATGATGAATTGTTGCAGCATTTCTGTCAGGATTTATATATCTGAAGTCATGTCATGTTGAAGGGAAGGGGAGCAACCCAAAGAGCACTAATTCACTGAGTAACCTTTGGTCAGGTACTCTTGTGTTTGGCCAGGTAGTCTTATTACTCAGCCTGCAAGTATTTATTGGGCACCTATAATAGGATTAGTAAATGGGTTTTAATAAAACAAGCCCTTCCTGTATCACCATTGGGTCCTACTGCCTTTCTACTCTACAGTCCTGTGTTATCATACACATGCCCCCGTATTATATAGCTCTTTATGTCCATGATTAGCTCTGCCTTTTTGTGCTGTGTGCTCTTGAGGCCAGGGACCATAGCAAATAGTCAGACAACAGATAATAAGGGGCTTCAAAAGTTATAAAATCTGTGGACATTTTGGATCTTATTTGATCTTTTTTAGCAGTCTCTGGTTGAGGTATGGTGTAGGGACATGGGAGATGTGTGTGCTCAGCTTCCTGCTGGGCTCCTCTAACACTGCTCTGGCGAAAGTGGAGCACTGGCTTTTTGCAGGCAGATGAGGTAGAAGCTGAGCTTCCCTTTGACCCTGCTGACTCCTTCCTGGTGATAGTGAGGCACCAATTTGCATCACCTCAACTTGCACCACTTCCTTGCCTCCAAATGGGCTTGTAAGCTCTGTTCCCTGCTGACTGACACCAGGGGAGGGGGTGGGGAAAGCAGAGTGCTATTTCCTGCTCCCACATGTTCTGCCTCTTTTCCTCTGTTGCTGCTGGCTGAGGGTAGAGGCTCAGCTCTCCACTGGACCCCAGTGACAGTACCCCTCTGGCCTGTTCAGCATCACTGGATGGTGGGAATTGAAGTGCTGCCTCCTGCTTCCCTAGGGGGTGGGGTAGAAGATCACTTCCTGTTCAGCCCCACTGAAACTTTGGGGGAGGGCAGGTAGCAGTTTATGTTGCTGTTTGAGTAAAATGGATATTGTCAGGAAGTTTTTCTGAGCCAGAAATTAACACAACATTGTAAATCAACTATACTTAAGTTTAAAAAAAAAGGTTTTCTGTTGTTAGGTCACCCTTTTCTCAGTCTTCTGCCTAGGAGCAACAAAACTTTCTTGGCAGTTTTTTTTTTTTTTCTTAATACCTGTTTTTTTAGTAGATGTTGTTTTTTCATCAGTTCTGTGTTGGAGGCTTCTGCAGTGTTGCAGTGTCCTATCCTGGATATATGGGAGGCAGTAAGGAAAGCCAGGGAACTCATTGCCCGTTGTTCTTCAAGTCCCGCGGTCTCTAAGTGGACTGCCTTCTTTACATCTTTCTGATGCTGGTTTGTTGTCTAATGTCCAGGTTTTTTAAGTTGTAAGGGGAAGGACTGGGAGGAATGGGGCTACTCCATATTGGCCAAACCAGAGGTACATCCTTTTTTTTTCACAATGGGTAGACTTACCCTTTCAGTTAATTCTCAATGGAAGCAGCAGGATCTTTTAAGACAGTGATTTTCAAACTGAACTCTCTAAGATATCTACTTAATTTTTGTTTAAAAAACAGATTTTAAAGCCAAAATGAAAACTTGAAAACCACTGCTCTAGAATACTCCACTAAAAATTAAATACAAAGCTTCTTTTCCATGTTTGTCTCTCATATTTAGTTTTTGAACCATTGGGAAGCAAGTATCCTGTTCTATTTATTTCTGTTTTTCTGGCACTTGAATGTGCCCAACATGTAGTACATATCCAGTACTTGATTGTGAAGGAATAGTCATTTATGCAGATCCTTCTTCTCTGCCCTTGTAGTTCCTTTACTGCCTACTCCATCTTAGGGTCTTTTTTTTTTTTTCCCTTCTTGCCAGGTATCCTGGATACAGACATTGTTGATCGGGGGAGGAATGTGGTGTCTGGTTCTCGAGATGGAACAGCGCGCCTTTGGGATTGTGGGCGCTCAGCCTGCCTGGGAGTCATTGCAGACTGTGGTTCTTCCATCAATGGAGTGGCTGTGGGTGCTGCAGACAACTCTATAAACCTCGGCTCTCCTGAACAGATGCCTAGTAAGTTGACAACAATATATGAACTTATTTTGTTCCCTTAGACTCCTTCAATGTTTGCCTTAGTCTCTCCTTTTCTTCCTCATTCTTTCTGTTTTATAGCTGGTATTTCTATTTTCACCATAAGATTAATATTTATTACATATCTATGTTTCTGTTGCTTTGGAACCTACAAAGGAAGTATATCATAGTTACTGCATTTGAGTAAGTACAGTCTAAGTTAGCAGATGAAACTAATGCCTGTAAAACAGAGAACAATAAAATTTAGCGAAAATAACTTAGTGCAATATATAATAGTTTTTTGGAGGAAGAGAGTGTTTTAGGTTAGTATAGATGAGAAAGGTGTCACGAAAGAAGTTGACTTGAACTTGGGAGGATGGATTCAAGTTGAACAGACAAGAATGGGAAGGATGGGAGAACAGGAACTAGGGCAGGGGTGGAGGTAGGGACAATTCACATTAAAACAGTATGCAGGTGAAATTGACTATTGGGTAAAGATACGTTTGGTTGGGCCAGAGGTTGGATTAAGAGTAGTAGGGGGAAATAGATGAGTAGAATGATAGCTCTAGTGAGTCAGAAAGATAAAGGTCCTAATAAGGCAACTTGCATTTTTCTCTTATTTTCCTCTGATTATAACATACTTGCTTCTCATTTCACAGGACTATTTTTCTACCATCATCTTTGCTTCTCACATTTTTTAAAAAATAAACTTTATTTTTCAAGCAGTTATGTCCACATAAAACTGAGCAGAAAGTACAGAGTTCTTAAATACCCTCTACCCCAACACCCATACACCCTACCCTATCATCAACACCCCAGCAGAGTGGTATATTTATTATAGTTGATAAACCTATCTCGACACATCAGTATCACTCAAAGTTCGTTGTTTACATTAGGATTCATTCTTGGAGTTGTACATTCTATGGGTTTGGACAAATGTATAATGACACATATCTATCATTATAGCACCATGCAGGAGTTTCACTGCCTGAAAAATCCTCTGTGCTCCACCAATTAGTTCCTTCGTCTCCTATAACCCTTAGCAACTACTAATATTTTTACTGTCTTCATGGTTTTGCCTTTTCTAAAATGTTGCAGTTGAAATCATGAACTACGTAGCCTTTTCAGATTGGCTTCTTTCACTTAATTATATGCATTTAAGGTTCCTCCATGTCTTTTCATGCCTTGATAACTCATTTCTTTTTAACATTGAACAATCTTCTATTGTCTGGGTGTACCTCAGTTTATTTATTCATTCATCTACTGAAGGACATCTTGGAGGTTTCCAAGTTTGGGCAACTATGAATAAAGCTGCTGTAAATATCCCTGTGCAGGTGTTTGTGTGGACATATGTTTTTGGATTAATTTTGCCTCTCACTTTTGACACACTATGGTACTCTCCTCAGACTCTTAAACTTCCCATGTAGAATGCACTGTAGTCCAAGAACTAAAATTGTTGTTGATTACCACATGTTCCCTGGCCCCTCTTTGGGAATTAATGGATTAATAGGAAGAGTCTATTTCCCAAAGTGTGATACATGTGCAGTTAGTGCTAAGCAAGATCATTTCAGGAAGTACACATTTTTAATAGTTCTATATTAATACACACATCTCACTTCAAACCTAACATTTCACAGATACTACTTAAAATAAGGTTGAGTTTCTAAAAATTAGTTGGTTCAAAATAATTTAATTGAAAATATTCTTGTTTTCTCTATTTCCTCACTTCCTACTTACTCTTCAACACATCCTAGGATGGTTTGTGCTCCAGCTGCTTAACAACAGCTGCTGTTGTCAAGGTTACCAGTGAGTCCATGTTGCCTAATCCAGTGTTACTTCTCTGTGCTTGTCTTTCCGAGTTCTCAACAGGGTTCATCATAGTAAACTCTTCTCTTCAGAACACTTTTCTTTCTTGGCTTCTGTAATACCACACTGCAGTGCTTTTCTTCCTATCACATTGGCTGCTGGTTTTTAGTCTCCTTTTATAAGTCTCCTTTGTTCTACCTTTAAATATTGGAGGGCCCTCAGCTCTACAGTTTTTCCCTAGGTGATCTCCTTATTTCCATGACTTTAAACATTGTATTTAAGCTGGTGATTTCCAAAGGTATATCTAAAGCATAGAGATCTCACTTGCATTGCATTTCAGACTCTATTTAGATATCTGATAGACAGCTTGAACTTAACCTTGTTTAGCATGGAGTGTTTGATTTCCCCCCACCCCAAGTCTGTTTTTTCCCCATCTCAGTAAATGGCACCACCATCTCCTTGCTTAGCCCAAAGCCTCAGATTGATTCAAGATCCACCCCTAACCTTTTC